AGCGAACCACTATACGACGTTTTCATTTTTTTTTCTGGAGAATTGATGAAACCAAAGTCTGGGTTGTATATAGAAAAGTAATTTCTCGGTTTTCCCAGTTTGGCGATTTTAAGCGCTTTTCTTTATCGATTTGAAGTTGGTGGTCGCAGAGCAACATTTAAAACCATTAAAATTGATTTAAATGCAAAAATTATACTAACAAAAGGAATTTCGAGGTACGTGGAATTAGGATTTGCAGTTTATTTTTACAAAAAGACGGCCGCTGGGGTGCTCTTTGAAAAAAAAAACATGGTAGAAACATGCAGGTAAAGTGCTAGCAATGTTTCTCAACAATGTTGCTAAGCAATGTTTTTTCGTGTTCTATTGCCTAAAAGCGCAGCAAAGCGTACCCAGCGGCCGTTTTTGGTAACACTAAATTGTAAATTCAAATTCCTCGTACCCCTAAAATTTTTTTGATAATATAAATATTTGCATTTAAATAAATTTGAATTCTTTTAATGCTGCTTTGTAACCACTAACTTAATTGAAAAAAACGCACAAAATCGCCAATTTGTGAAAAACTGAGAAATTACTTTGTGATTGTCAAAATTTTGTATTTTGCTAGTGAGTGAAAACCTGAGGGTTTTTGTATTTTCTCTCGGCCTTTTTCTTTTGGAGAAGAATTGCTTAGATTTGACAATGGCCCGTCAAAAGCAAAAACAAAATACAAGTTTTTTTTTTTAATTTGTCGAATTCATACCACCTTAAGTGAACTAGCCTTGGGCCGAATCTTAAGTTTTTCGGTGTCATCTACATTCGGCAAAAACGATTTTTTTTTAAAACGTCTACTGGAATAAGAAATATTTCATTAGCAAAAGTTTAATGCTTTTTCATGAGCTTTAATTTATTGACATTGGGGTAGCCTTCTATGGTGATAAGGACTGAGATTTGGTGGGTAAGTACTTCAACGAGGTACTTGTGGCTAAAGAACTTTGGAACAAAAAAATTGTATGCTCGAGACAAGAACACCGATATATTTTAAGATCCGATATGACGAAAAATATAAAAAGGTGACAGCTACGTTTAGTACAGTCAATCTGGCTCTATATGAAGGTGTACCTGGAAAAAATTCCACACAGAATTTGTTGAAACTTTACTTCTACAAAAACTACTTCACGGTGATTTGAAAAATGAAATCGCTTTTTTTGTACCGGACACTAATTTCGAAAAATCCCGGTTTTTAGGACCGCTTACCAGTTAAAAAAAATGATCACAGCCATTTCTTTTATTATGATTTTTTACAAAATTAAATCGCTTTACTGTACCGGTTACTGACTTTGAAAAATCCGAAATTTTAGTACCGGTTACCAATTTCGTAAGAATTTAATGTATATTTATAAGAAGTAGCGTCTCCACATATTCATGAGAAGATGAACTGGAAAGCGAAATAAAAAACCGATTTCATTTTGGAAATAACTATGATAAAATAAATGGACATAATTATTCGGATTTTCTCAAAATTGTTAACCGGTTCTAAAAACCCGGGTTTTTTCAAAATTGGTAGCCGGTGGAGAAAAAAATAATTTCATTTTTGAAATGACCGTGAAATAAGCTTTGTAGATAATTGCCAACAATTTTTAACTAATTAAAAATATTTCCTGTCCATTTGAGAGGTAAAACATTTTCTTGTTTTGATTAAAATAGTTTTTTGAACAGCATGGTACCATTTTTATCGCGTATGGAGTTTTTCCATATTAAGTGCTATGTTGACTGCACTAGTTCGGCAAAAAATATATTCGCCGAACTTTTTTTTCGGTGCGGTCTAATGTACGCACATACAAATTTATGTATAAATAAGCAAAATATTTGTGCTGAATCAAATGGTAAATATGTAATATATATCTACACATGTTTATCACTACAAGTACATATAGAAGTAACATGCAGCAAAAATAGTTCATGCAGCGACAAACATATCTAATGTACACACATATGCATGTACTTACACACTATGTACGTTCTTACTCTGCTTATCCATGCACATTTTGCATTCAAAAGTATTACCTTTACCTCTGTACATATACTATTCGTTGTTGGCAGTTGGATTAATTTTGAAATATGGCTAATAGATTGCGGTTAGGGTAGGCCATAAGCGTCAAATAGCAACTGCTGTAACAACGCTAACAGCAACCAACAACAACAACAACAACTGCAAAACAGGAATGCCAACAAATAAATTACAAAGGAAAGCATTAGCAGCATCAGTATCTATCAGCCATAGCAGCAACGAGTGTAGCAAAAGCCCAGACAGCAGCCTAATACAGTAAAAATAGCACGAAAAAAAATAAACAGCAATTGTTGCAAGCACACTCAGGCTGAGAGTACAAAAGCAGCTATTAAGGCAACGTTTATTGTGTACTTAAAACATTTTAGCGTTGCGGTGAAGTGCCGCTAACTGTAATATCTATGTCTGCTGTAAGCTTTACTGCTTTACTATGCAAATGGCTATACATATGTTTGTATGTAGGTATGTTTATGCTAGTATTATAGTGTGCATATTTTTGATTTATTGGCAAAATGTTAATATGGAAAATGATATTGCGGCAATATAACGAGCGGCAAACTTACGTGCCTACACTGTACTACTTTTGTAGCAGTTTTTTAATAATGTTGTTAACTGAGCTGCTGTCGCTGCAACTACTGTATCTGTCACACACAAACATACTACTTACATAGATACATATGCGCGCGAAATTGGCTATGAGCAAATGGTAATTTTACAAGCGCAACCGCATTAGGATATTTCATAAATCAAAGAAATTGATTATGCTCCTCGTTATTCCGCGGCAAAGACTAGTGTAGGTAGATGTGAATTGTTCAGCTAAATTTTACAAAAAAAAATTGTTCATTGAAGAGAAAAAAAACTTTCATGGTAAAAAACTAAAAGAAGACCGGCAGCTTTAGGGAAATTCTTCCCCTGGAATATTTTGAAAATAAACCATAGGCATGCTGTTTTGGACTCGGCCATAATCGCTTTGGTAGCTACAGCGTCAATAAAGAAGAAGAAGATAATGTCAAATTGGTTTATGAGCTCAAACAGCTCATCGTTTCACTATCTGTAGTATTCTGCAAGGCCTACGCGTAAAGACCCTAAAATATCCCACAGAATCCTGTTGTCGATTCCTCGACTTCGTCGCACATTGTCATCGATCACTAGATTGGTGTGGTGGTTAGGGATTCTCCCTTTTATGGAACATTCCTGAATTTGCCTTAATTTCTGAAAAAGTATTCATGCGCTTATCCTGTCGGCCAGATTTGAAAAAAACGGGCAACTTTTTGTTGAAAGCAAAAATCGCTTGGCCTTTCAACTTATCCCTTTCAACGAAGTTGGTCGGCTGCCAACTTTGGATTCAACTAATGGCCTTTAAAAGCGCAAGAGTAGCCAACACGCTTTTTGTTATAAGTAGCTCAGTTATGCCTCTCACCAAATTGACCGTTTACAATCAGTTATTTAGCTGTAGGTAGGTGGCGCAGGTGTGGAGTTATTATGCACGTTAGTAGCAATATGGGAAATATACCTATAAAAAGTGGGCCCGATAGGTGGCTCCAAAATAGAGTTGTTTAAATTTTTGTGTGAACCTATTCGTTCTTCTGTTCCTATGAATTATAAAATTTTTTAACAGTAGGTATATCACTCCACCTAACAATATTAGTGACCTAGACGAGCAAATGGCGATGATGAACTTGAAAAATCTATCGGGATGGCGTGTTTGAAGTTCAAACTTTGAACATAGTTATTGGAAATATATAAAAAAAGAGAAAAGTGAAATTTTCACAATTGAAATATACGCGTAAAATGGTGTTAAGGCTAACAGACAGCTGACAAGTGTATTTATCAAACTAGGAACCGCTATAAAGCTTCCAGGCCATGAGGGCTTTCATGGAAGCGAACGTGCTGATCCTCCCGCGAAAAATTGTGCCCAATTGAGCTTGTATGGCCCTCTGCTCTTCGCTGGTTTATCCAAGGAATATCGGAACTTCTAAAGAAGCAGGCGGATTCCGAGGTTGCAGTCCACTTGCCTATGTTAAATGGTAAAAGGAAGACTACTAGATATAACAATGACCACTGGAAACTTAAAGGGCACTCGAGAAAAGGTACTCTCTTTGTGGACATTTGGAACATTTCAGTAAGCAGACTTCGACTTATACAACTTGAAGAAGGAATATCGTATGGATGATGAACAGCCAAATCGGCATAATGAGGTGCAATTCTATTCCACGTTTGGTTAGTTGAATTTCTCTTCAAAATAAAAGCAGCAAGGGAGCCTTAATAAATGTATTTAAAGTTAATACGAATAAGGAAAATTAGCAAGAATTAAATCATTAAAAGAAAAAAATTTGGCGCTTAAGTAATTTATCAATATTGACCTAGATTTAATTAAATTTATAAAGTTTTTGCATATAAGATTCTTTGAAATTTCTGCCACAAATTCATGGAATGTTAATACGAGTACATTCATATGATTAGTGTGTGTATATATTATACATAGCTTTCACAGCTATTATATAGGTCAACACCAAGCGTGAGATAATATGCTAACAACTATTTAGTATATTTACTGAGGCCTCTTCGCTTATAGGTTTTGAGCCACTGAAGGCGTACGATATACTTTGTATCTTTTTTTCGATTTTGTATTTTTTCGAAACACCATGAATTTTACATTTACCACAACTGCTTTGAACACCTTCGCTGTGGCATAAAACTTCACGCTACTTAAGTTTTGTTTAATTTAAATTAATTAGCAACAATATTGATCATAAATTATGGGCCTGAAAAGAAAGGCACTTTATAGATCGCTAAATTGAGTGTGGCGGCAAGAGCGCACAAAAAAGGAAAGAAAGGGCTTAATAACTACACGAGTGCAGACACTCTTAGGTTTAAATTTGTGTAAATATTTATAGTACTAAATGCATAGGTGTGTGTATGTATGGGTAAATATAAATCGATTTCAGGCACTTACCCGTATGTATACGCTGGTGCGCCTTCAGGTGTGAGCTCTTCGTATAGACCTTCGTACAACCTGTAAGCAAATATTGCGAAAAAGATAAATTTTTAGTGAAATCTTTTTTGTTGCGATTGTGATGTGGGAAACAAATTTGAACAAAATGAGTATACAAATAAATTCAGTGTGGTAAATTAAAATTAGCTGCGGTTACGCCGCTGCGGTGAAACTGGCTTAAAATATGAGTACATATATATATATGCACATACATATGTAGTTGGAAAAAAAAAGCGCGCAATAATGTCAGAGAAATAATGTTGCTGCCACAACGACAATATTGCTGCCGCTGCTGTGGTTGCCAGAAAGTGTGTTGGCAGCTAACACACTGCTTGGCAAATGTTTAATCTTTGTTGCTGCCACTCGTTAGATTTGTTTTACTTTTTACCTATTGTTTTTTTTTCCATTTTTTTTTAGCTCTTGCTTGTGTCTTTCGTTGCCGTTCGTTGTTCTGCTTAGCATTTGTAGCATATAAAACCAGCATTCGAACGAAATAGCCTTTTCGCCGCCGCTGTGGTGTAAGAAAGCTTCATCCACTAATAAGCGCTATCGTCCAGTTTTGTTGCAACATTTTCTTTTTGTTTGTTGTTGCAGTCAGCGCCTCATTTGCCGCCTAATGGAATTTATATGCTGCAACAACTTAAAAAATAAAGGCAAATTTCAAACCAAAAAATATTTTTTAGGTTCGCTCGGTTTGATAAAACTTAAATCCAATGAATTTGTCATACTTGATATTGAAAAATATTTACATATATAAATTCAAAATAGTTTGAAAGATTTTGTTTATTCTGGCACGAAAGTTTTACAAAACGAAGCACCCTTGCCAACTTTCACGGTGGAAAGACAGACAGATAGCTTTTAAGCCTGATCGAAATTGAGATACATATGGTCCAAAGTATAGGCGTGCCTTTCGAGAGATCCGAAAGTGGAATCTTTGGGCAGTCAATTTTATTTAAATTAAATTCTTTAATAAAAATTCCTTTTAATTTTTGTTTCGTTTAGGTTTTAGAAACTTATTTTATGCATTTGTAGGCTTTTTCTTTTTAAATGAATTTTTCTTTACATTTTAACACACTTCAAAAAAGGAGGAGGTTATAAATTCGTCCGTATATTTCTTTATTAATTTTTTTTTTATGTATGTTACCGCATAACTTTGAACCACGTTTACCAATTTCAATAATTTTTTTAAAGGAATGGTGTTTCTCACACGTGGTCCCATACTAATTTGGTTTAGATCCGTTCATTGCATCATGAAGAAATTAACTATAATCTTACATTTTTATATGAGAATTGAGGTCGGTTTTGTTTTTTTCTTAAAATTTATTAGATATTATTATTAGCTAAATTTAATTTTTAATTTTTAAAACTTATTATTTTTAATTTTTTTTTAAGAAAATTTCGTAGGCAACTTATTAAAATTTTAAATTATTAAAATTTCTTATTTTTTAAATTTTGTCTAAGAAAATTTCGTTAGATAACATATTAAATTTTTGGCAACTACTTTTTTTTTGTCTTTTTATAATTAAACTTTTTTCTTATTGCAGCGTTCTTTAAATTTAATTTCATTGTTTTAAAAAGAATTTTTATTATTTTTTTTTTTAATTCACAGACTTATTTTATTTCTCTTTTCTTTTCTAAATGCATTTTTTAATACAATTCTTTTAGTTTTTGGACTTTGTTGTTTTAAAAAGAAAAGTATAATTTTTTTTGAATATTATCTAATTTTAGAAATTTATTTTATGCATAATTTTTCTTTCTACTCAATTATTTACTTTATTTATAATTTTTAGATATTATTTAAAAAAAATTTATATATGTTTCTACATTTAATTAATTTTTTAGAGACTTTGTTCCTGATACATAATTTTTTAATTGAAAATTCGTTTAATTTTTATATTTTAAATTTTTAAAAGGAAAAAATATAGATTCAATTTTATATTTCTAATTTTTCTAATTTTTAGATTTTAATGTTTTAAAAAGATTTTTTTTTATATTACATAATTTTTACAAACGCATTTTATTTACTTTTTTATTTTTTAATATTTTTTTAAATTTGAATATTTTATTGCTTTAAAAAGAAAAAGAAAATTTTTTTATAATTTTATCTAATCCCTGCAAACTTATTATGTGCATTTTGTTTCTTTAAAATTATTATTTTATTTTCTAATTTTTACCTTTTAGTGTTTTAAAAAGTTATATATTTTTATTTTTATTGAATTTTTAGAAACTTATGTTTGTCTATTTTAGTTTTATAACTTTTTTAATATGTATATTTGTTTTTGTTATTTATGGCCTTATAAAAATTATATTCAACAATTGTTGCTTTTCCACAATAGTTTTTCTTAAAAACGGCCTCAAGCTCAATAAAAATTCTTGAATATTGTTTTTTTTTTTTAATATTTTCTTTTAATTTGTTTTATTTTTTATTTTAATTTAAATTTTATGATTTTAAAAAAGCAATTAAATACATATTTTTTAAATTAGTTTAATTTTTAGAAAACTTATTGCTAAAAGACAAGCAAAAAATCGCCTAGAACTCTTCGTAAGCAGATCTTCCAATTAGTTCTTCGAAAGAAAGGAAAGCGCCTTTAAGATAGTTGCCAGCTTTGGCAATTTCCTTACGAAAGACTTTTGAGCCCAAACTGCATTTTTTTTTTAATTTTTTCTGTGATAACAAAATCTGTAAAAATTTCTAAATTTCTAATATTTTTAAAAATATGTTTATAGTTTAGAAATTTTCGCTAATGTCCTTATTGTAAACGTACAACAAAATAAAGGGATGTGCCATACACAATTTAGAAATTTTAATATTTTTAAGGACCACCCTAGCATGCATGTTGCCTGTCACATGTAGCCGGTGCTTGTCCTACGCCTGTTCGCCTGCCAGTTGTTTGTGCAATGAGCAACCTGTTGCTGCTGTCGTGCTTTCTGCCATTTCTCTGGATTTATTTAAGTTTCATTTATTTCCTACTTGCGATTTTTTAGTTGCATTCTTTATTTATTTTTTATTTTTTTGTTTTATTTACCACATTCTGCCAACAAGGTTTCGTGGCTAGCTCCCCCCTCTTTTTTGCTCATTTGGAGCGAAATAAAGTTGGCATCTTGATACACGTTCGCTGCGGTTTTTGTTGCTGCCTTTTGCATCTTCAGTCCAGCGCGCAAAATCTCAGCCATGCTTATGTTGTTGCTGTTGCCATTTCGTTACGAGCATTAACAAAATGCGCCAAAATAACACAGATTAATGCTGTTATTAGGTCAATCGGGTGGCTGTTTGCCAGCTTTGTCCGCTTGTTGCCTGTTGCCTTCTGCTTACCGCCGCGGCTGTGAGTGAATGGCTGCGCGACGGCTTCAATTGGCTTGCCCACTCAACTACTTGCTACGCTGGGATTTTGCAAGTACCGTCCTTTACATCACATTTTTACTCCTATTTCTTTGGTAGCTGGTGTAATTTTTCACAAGCTTGATTGCCAGCATTAGTCGGCAGCTGTTAGTCGTCCGTTTGTTGCATGCTGGCTGATGGTTGGTGGCTGCTGGCTGGTGTCTGGTGGTTGCGGTGGCTAACCCAGTGCCAGCTAAGCTAATTTGTAGCTTAACATTTGTTTTGGTTCAGGGCATAAAATGTTGTTATTTGTAAGCTGATGATTTATGGCGTAATGAAAACAACAACAAACATGCTGAGACTACTGACTTGCGCACAAAACAAAAAAAAAGTGTCGTGATGAGTACACAAATGCGGAAGAACTGACTTATTGACCAAAAAAATAAATTGAAACTAATTTTAAGAAACTTTCATTACAACTACCAAAACCTTACACCAATGAGTACATCGAAAATTAAAGCGAGGCATATTAGTGAGAAAAATTGCATTGCACATCTCAACGATCGTCACGTTTAGGCTTAGCAAACAATAAATAAACTTCTTTCTCACAGTGTAGCGCCACACAACGCTAGCAGTAGCCCATAACTATTAGCTGTCATTTATGTCCGACATATGCAAGGCATAATAATATCAAAGTCATGTAAATTTTTTTCCTACTTCCCAGCTCTTCCTCTTCATTTCTGTCTACCCCGCCGTTTACTTCGTTGCCCTAAATGAATAATAATAATTTTATGTGGTATGTACGAGTGAGTAGCTTCTACGTGAAGTGGATGCGCATGACCGTTTATGCGCACTGAAAAGCAGGAACTATCTGAGACAACGTCGCAAACGATAGGCGCCACGAAAAACCTAGACAAAAAACATACATATACACGTGTGCACCATCATAAGAATAGCACACGAATAAAAATGAAAAAAAAAATTAATAAATAGCAGAAGACAAAGTAGTTTACTGCTCGCTCCTCGTAAAACTAAATCTGCATATGTAAACATACCATAAATAAATCGCAACATGTAAATCGTTGTGTAGTCTAGTATTCCTGCAGGCAAAATGCTACAATAACAATAACAACATCGAGCCTTACATATTAGTATTACATATGATTCGTACCAAGATAGATATTAGCTGCATTGCTAACGTTTAGGTTGCCGTGCGGCGCGCATCAAGCAACAACGTCAATGAGTCGTTGTTGTGGTCGCGCATTTAAAAGCGTTCGACTCGGTCATTTGGCTAGCAATGAAGCGGCTGGCTGGTCGTTGGTGTTGTCGTCATACTCTCATCCATCTGCGAATGATGCATGTCTGGCAGACGATTTTGCATAAATACATGCGAACACATGTTGTGCGTTTTACATACCTATATGTGCATATGTATAGGAAATTTGTTCGACCATGCGCGTATAGCACAGAAAGCTTCTAAATAGTTGTAATTCTATGCAAATTTTCAAAAGAAACCATAGGTCTAAAATCCATTTGGAGTTTGCCAACTTGCGAAAACAGGTTTTTTAGTGTCGTAGCAAGTGCTTAATTTTTTTTTTTTTGGTATGAGGAATCCATTTCTGCACTTATCTTATTCTTAAAAGTTCCACCAGAGGGCGCAACAGTTTATAACTTTCATATTTTCTTCGAAACTTATTTTCGC